AAGAATATTGACTTTTAAATTGGATTATAGCGAAACTTTACAAAATTCTTTAGATCATGATCATAAAAATGCAAGATAAATTCATCTAGCTGTAGCTGAGCAAAGTTTAAACAAACAAAGCAGCCCAGAGTGAGTCATGTAGGACAGCGTGCCATTGCCAACAGACTTGGATGAAAGCTCTAATGTGTAGTTTAAACAAAGAAATGTGCTATTTATCCTGGATTAAAGAAGCTGAAATGCACTCTTTTATTGGTCACGAAGTGACTTAATATTTGCATCAGAGAAAATTTCAAATGCCTGACATTAACAATTTCCTGTTTGTGTTAATCTGATGTAGGATCTAGTAGGGTTCTACTGATCTGTACAGTCCACCACATATTGAATGGAGCTTTTTGAGTGCTTCCTGGTGTTACCGAATCCCCTTTTCTGTTTTATGAATTGAGAGAGAATTCAAAGGCATGGAACCTGGTGGAAAGAACAGATATTTTCTGTCAGAATTAAGCGCAGCAGCTGCACAAATACACTCTGGTTCCTAAATAGCTGACAGTTGAAGCTATCAGGTCCAATTTACAGAAATTAAAGGTACTGAGGTATGTTTTCACATACTTCAGTTGCATCTCCTCTGACAGTATGGCCATATGCTTGTATACTTTTAATGCTGACACATATTTTAGTGTCTGCAACACTTCTTAGTAACTGCAACGCTTTTGAGATTTTTAATCCTTCAAGAATAAAGAGAATAATAAAAATCTAGTTTTGGACAAACAGTTGTAGGAGAAGAAGATCTTAAACTTGCTTGATGGTCCATTTGCTGTATCCTTTAATATATTCTGCTTGTCTCCTTTCTACTAGAAGATTTACAGAGCCTGATGGGAGAATCAGATTGAGAAATTAGCTTACAGTTTAATTATTTTTTTACTGTACACATTGGCTACATAAGAGATCCTTAGAGGACCATCATCCTTGGGCTCAAGTCTTCTGTGAAAAAGAAAGGGAAACACTTCAGATTGTGGCTGCACAGCACTTACTACTCTAACAGAGTTAATCTGAGAGGGGAGTTTATATTGAAATAAGAGAAAGACACAGAAGCACACACATGAAGTTTTAAGCTGAATTATCAGAATCCTGAGTAATGTTTGGTAAATCATGAAAAGCACAACCACCTAGAAATGTACTGTAAACTGGCATGTTTAAGAATGCATATTACCGGTAGATAAACAAGCAGGCCACATATACATTCTCTGTTGACATTTATTGATTCTTTTTAACAAGAAAACATGACTGACATCCATAATTTCTTTTAGCAAAACCTGTTAGACTTTACAAGCTGCTGCTGCTTCAACCACAGCAGCCTGCTGCTGGTATATTAAGAGTTTCGATGGTCAGTGGATGAAGGAAAGAGCAGAATGCTAAGCAGAAATACCATGAAAAGGTCTGAGCATATGTATTTGATATAAATATCATAATTTTATAGAGGTATCTATATCAATATGCACCCCACTTCCTTTAGTTACTTTACAAGTGAACACCAAGTATTCAGCTGAATACTGAACAGAATTTTTTATTTATTATTTTTGATTTATCAGAACAGACTAGTTGGAGTGAATTTTTTCAGGTTCTTTGTACTTATTCCAATAAAATGGATGTTTCTTGCAAAATAAAGAGGCAAAAGATTTGCCTTTTGTATTGTGTCCTCTGAGGGAAGAACCATGCAAAGATCCTTTTTAAAGAATCCCATTCAGAGCGGATCTGTTTTCATTTACAGTGCTATTTACATGGTTTAAGTGTATGTTCTCAATTATCTCATGCCAAAAATCTAGATGATTTAACTTTTGCTCATTTCATTGTTTTCCTTACTGAAACAGTTTGTAGTAGCTTTGGATTTTTTGTCTCCATTTTTATTTACCTTATAAGAAACTGGAGGATTTTTAGTAAATGGGTCATTATGTCAATACTAGGGTGGAAAAAAATCATTACTGTAGAGAATTCCAATTTTGTAGAATCACAATTGAAGTCAACTGTGTACATCTGTGCCAGTTCTTCATATTTGAAATATTTTCATATTTTTTCGTATTTCTCAAATTCATTTTGAGAATGCTAAATATATGTGGGAGAGGATGGATTAGCCTATCTTTGTTGATAGAATATGGCTCCTGGTAAGCTTTTGATTCTTTGTTAAAGGTTTATTTTGCAGCATCACAATCATATAGTATGGATCCCCACTGGTACATTAAACCAGTTTTACATCTGATATGTGTATCAATGACAACTTCTACTTAACAAAAACCTTAGTCCTCCTAAATACCTATCATTAATAAAAATGTCTAAATTCTTAAATCATGTCTTTCAGTATGGCAAAGGACTTTATAGATTTTGTTTGTAAAGAATGAAAAAAAGAAATAATAGTAATGTACTAGTTCTGAGGCTTTTCAGAAAGAAAAGCTTAATGCAGAAGTTAGATACTTCTGTTGACCAAATGAACTGAATTCTGTGTCTTTCTACTAACCAACTCTTTTGCAGACAACAAAAGACATCCACTATGTTGGCTTTACTTTCTCAGTGCATGAAAAAAAAAGGGTGTTTAAAAAAAATTAAAAAGTGGATACAATGGTTACTAAAACAAACAGAGGAAGTTATAAATCTTCAAATCATACACAGAACAGATTGGATCATTATAAGTTCCAATATAAATTCTTCAAGTTTTCTTAAATAATATACCTAATAACTCTCCATGGGCAAGTAGGAAATCTGTTTTCAATTTCTTTTACTTCTAAGCAAAAATATGACTTATGTTAAAGGAAGGTTTTTCTGGTGGGAGTTTTCAACCAAAAATGAATGCAAGTATCTTACCAGAAAATGTTCTTTGAAAGCCAGGAGGTTTTGTTGCAGTCACTGTTCAGGACACTGCCATGCACTGTATAATAGTAAAGAAGAGAAGAATAGATTCTGTCCAGCTCCGAATCAGAGTATAAAAGGAGACCGCAGTGTAAATGCCTTTTGAAACTCCTAAAGCAATTAGTCCTGATACCCAAATGTGAGAGTTTTTGGCAGCCAAATTTTTTATTTTCACTGGAGCAGATTGCTGTGAGTCTCTACTCAGTGAGAGTCATAACAGGATTGTACCAAATGCATCTGCTCTTAGCAGGAGCTTTTTGTAGCAAGTAACCTCTGCAGGTATCTGAGAGCATGAATTACCTTGTAATCTTTTGATACTCTGGTACTTTCTTCTGCTATGGAATATTCTGGGTTGCACAGCCCAGAAAAATGCTTTTAAAATGTGGACTCTAATTAATTACAGAAAAGAACCAATATTGAGTGAAATCAACCAGGGAGGTAATAAATTTTCTCCATTGGAATGCAGTGTATCAGAAGAGCATTCAGGAAGAGACCCAGCTAAAGCTAAGAGCACTGGATCTTTACAAAGGACTTCCCCTACAATCAGGAATTATTTCTGCTATCAAAAGCTATAAGCTATCCAAATGGAGAGTTCAATTTCTTAATTAGGAATAGATGAAGACATTTGAAGAAAATAATACCCGTAGTTTAAAATCAGTCCTGTAGGAAGACGTGCACAAACAGTATAAGGAATACAAATTTTTATTTTTAGATGCTATTTATAGTTTCCCTGGGACTTGGTAGGTTTTTGATGCAATATGGGTTTATAGCCAGGAAAAGTCTGGAATATTACCAGACAGAAAGGACTTCCCTGTATGTTAGTGTAATGTAGTGTACCAAACAGTCTGTTCAGAATTCACAAGTAAACTACTAAGGTTTAAAATATCTCTTCAGAATCTGAAGCTGCCTGAGGTTTTCCATTGCTGCTTTATGTATAACAATGCACTAAGTCATACTTGTACACCTCTGGCAACTCAGGCAAGTGGCCATCAGGGAAGCAGGGGCAGAGTCCTTCTGGTGGGGGCAGTGTAGGCTTGGTTCTCCCCTGTACCCAGCGTGCTGCAAACTCTGCCGGGCTGCAAAACTCCCAGAGGAACCTCCAGAGAACCCCTTGGCCCAAGGAAAAAGGCTGACCTGATATATTTTATGTCTTGTTTTCTGATACTGTGCTTACCATCTCATAAAACAGAAAAGCTTTAACTCGTGTTTTTGTGTTTTTAATTGTTTGCAGTCCAAGGACATTTATTGCACCCAAAACTTATGTTTAAAAACAAAAAATGGCAAAGCAGAAACTATGAATAGCAAGTTTAGCAATAAACATTCACATATCTAGTCCTATGTTAAATACAAACTAGCATGGCCACAGTCTCTTGTAAACTTCTCTTTCTTGCCTATTAAATAAAACGAAACAATTGAAATTTTAGATTGTTGCTATTTCTAAAATTGCATTTGAGTCCTGGTGATGTTTAAATACTCATGTAAAAGGAGTTATCGCATTTCAAAATAAATGTTTAACACACTGTGCTCTGCCAGAAAAGTGATAATAGTAAACAATGACTTTCTGTTGTAAAGTACCCTCCCTTTAGGTTTTATGCTAGGAAAAAGATTTCTTTTCTTAGTGCTTATGGCCTGTAATTGGCAAGCTTTGCATTCCCTTCCTTGGCACAAAAGTCTGCTTCAACTATTGAAAAATATTGAATAATTTTAGGGAGATTTACTGTCTTAACCCAAAAATCTAAACAGTGAATCTCGTTAGAAGAGTTGAAGATTTTGAGAAAGATGTGTAAAATGAAGAAATATGACTTTGAAAGGGATTGGTTAATACAGTGTATAAACATATATATAACTGATCCTACTTATTGTTAAATGTGTAATACAACCTGGACAAATGGCTTTACAGGTGACAGTGTGTACATGTGTACATTTGCAGTTGCAAAAAACCCTTTGGAATTGATACTTTTCTTCTCTGACTTTGTGGAATAGGATCTAGAGAAATATCAAGAAGAGACTAATGCTCTTTTTTCTCAATAAGTTGTCATTTCCATTTCTGCTTGCTTGCTTGTTTTACCTGCTTTGCAAGATTAACTCTTATTTTTCTGTAACAGGCACATAGTTGTCTGTGGTCACATAACACTTGAAAGTGTGTCGAACTTCCTGAAGGACTTCCTGCACAAGGATAGGGATGATGTCAATGTAGAAATCGTCTTTCTGCATAAGTGAGTAATCTTTCGACTTTGGTCTTATCCTCTGTTACTAAAACTCATTAAGTTCAGCTGTATCTTCTGGGAAGACAGAGAATATTTAAAGCTCCAAATAACCTTAAGATTAATATTTGCATTTAAGTTTATTAAAAATATGTCTTGAGAAAAGTGGGGGTTTTCCTACATTTTCCATAACACCCTACTAAGTATATTTGCTTTAAGCAGACACTTCAGACCTTGTTGTGTTGTCTGTGAGGTGCATAGCTAAATGCATAGTTGAAGTGGGGATTGGATTGTGAAATAAAAAATACTGAAATGCAAATAGATAGCATCAGATGTTTTTTTTAGTGGTAAATATTCCTAGGGAAACAACCAAAATTAGTAGCATCAGTAAAACTGATGAAAAGCACTTTATGTTGTACCAACTTATGGTATCTGAAACATGTTTTCACCCTGGATCTCTCTAGGAAAGTGCTTGTTTTAAAATGCAGAGTATTTAGAAAATGAAAAATGTAGGTGCAGATTCAGCTTTAATATAACTGATACTTTACCAAGGTATTGAGAATATAAATGAAATTATTGTCATGGTGGTAGTCAGTACTGCTCTTTATTCCATTATATACACATATATACACACACACGGTATCTTGCCTTTTTCTTATGTGGAATTTGAAAAGGAGTCTTAATGAGGTTGATGTTTCTTTCAGGCTCTACATGATGTGTAAGATAATAACAGTTTAATAGCTAATACAATGCCAAATAACTAATACAATGCTGGCATTGTATTATTCCTCCCTCCTTCCTGGGGAGGAACTGCTAGAAAAAGCTACGTGATAGGAGACAGTATCTTTTCTGTTCTGTAATGGCATCTGTTTGGAAGAGTTGCAAGTTATAAGTGTTATTTTTTTGCATTCAGCAATGCATTCTGCACTTGTTGACAAAGAAAATTAGTAAAAAGGTAAGGATATTATTTGTGATGATCTAACAGTGAAAGCTGAAAACTAAGAATCAGAGTACTTCCACAAATTTTTAATCTAGTCCTTTCAATTTGAACTAAAGATGACATCCTCAAGTAACTACATAATTTTTTTTTATTCCCTCTCTATGTAATAACAAGTGACTGTGAGAGGAAATCGGGGATCAAGATTTCCACAGTGAAAATGTGTGGTGATAGGAATCAGGAAACTGCACATTCACATGAAAGGAGTTTAGCACCTTGCTACTTGTTTGTGCCAGTAGCTATTAAATTCCTTCTATTTTAATGAGTGGCACCAGAAAATATATGTACAATTTTGGTGCCACATTATGTAATTGACTGTAATCCGTTTGATTTTCTTTTGTTTCTGGCAAAATGAAATGAGGCAAAGCCATGGCATCATTATGTTTGTTTTAATTGTAGCTCATAGAGGCCTCAGGGTCCCTGTCTGGTTTCATTTTCTGATTTTTAGAGAGCTTGCATTAAGCTGTTTTATTCAACAGAGTCAGCTGTTGTCAGAATGGTAGGGACATGCAGAGGATGATTGTGGTACTATATAATTTCTGGGTAGAATGCTGGGAGAGGATATTTTCAAATGCTTGCACCCATACTTCTGGATCCCTTGGAAATGTACACACAACAAACGTGGAGAGTAACGCAGGGTGGGCCAGAAGTGCTGCAGCTACAAGTAAGGCAGCAGTGTAGGCAATGTAGTGTTCATCTGTTAAGTAAGGCATGCTGCTTCCATGCCACAGAAAAAGCATCAGCAGAAGTCTGAATATCTGAAATAAATAAATAGGTGGGTTTGTAAATGCAGGAAATGGAGCAGTTATGGAAATTAACCTCTCATTTGCTCTTGTGTTTTCTTCCTCTTTCCAATGCAGTATCTCCCCTAACCTTGAGCTGGAAGCTCTTTTTAAACGACACTTCACTCAGGTGGAATTTTATCAGGGTTCAGTCCTTAATCCCCATGACCTGGCAAGAGTAAAGGTAACAGCTCTGTTGTTCTGTTCTGCTAATTTATTTTTTTATAAGTACTCCTTTCATTATTTGGAAAAACAACCAAACACTAAAGCCCTTCTTCATGTAACCCCAAAAGAATGTTTTTCCATCTCTATTATCTTAAGTAATAAATTATATCTATACTGGTAAACCTTTTTTTTTCCCATATCTATAGATCTTCAAAGCTACAGCAACAGTGACTTAAGATACATTGTCTGCCATTCCATTGAACACTTTATGAATTTTTCATTGACGCTTCATTGAAAAGTGTATTTTACATTAATGTTTGATATAGCAAGATATTGTCTTACAGTAATTGCTTAAAGTGCTGTTGTCTTAACTTATCAGAACAATTTAAAAATATTTTTTCACCTTCCAAACCCTTTTTCTATTGTCTAGAATCCAGAAAGAAAAATGCAAGTTAAGGTTTTTGATAAAGTTAGATAGTTTGACTTATTTAGATATTTATTTTCTAGAATTTCTAACTGGTAAATTATTTCACTCTCTTAAAGCATGAAGTTTGAAACAAAAGAAAATTAAAGAAAAATCGAGTTGTCAGATACATAATTAACTTTTTTGTTTCTTTTTCCCAGTGGAATGTAAACTGGCTACTTAAGTCAATAATATTTTATTAGTACAGTGTAATTTACACTTTCTGGAGTACTAAGCATGTCTTTTGTCCATTTTGCCTGCAGAAATTGCTTAAGATTTTTGTAAGCCAATGCTTACACTGTTTCAGTTCATCAGAGCATGTCCTAATTATGGTCATAAAATAGTATTCTTATTTTGTGTTCTGTATTCCACCATTCTTTATGTTGATATTTGGTTGTATACGCTGGTAAATACTTTTGTCATCTGCTTTGAGTTCTGTACAGCTCAGGTTTGTGTGAATCTAGAGGTCCTGTGGATAGATCAGTTGTCCTCCTGTTGCTTTCTAAATCCAGTGCTCAAATTCTAAATCAGTTCAGCCACCTCTTCCTGTCTTGAATAGGAAAGTACCGAAATTCCCAAACAAAGCTGCAGGGATTGTGGGAGCACTGTGCTGATGCAACAGGAACTTCCGATGGATCTACAAGTCTAAATTCCAATATCTGGTTACAAATGATTAACATTACCACCTTTGTGGCTCAGCTGATTCAGAGTAAGAGTCATCAGTTGAACTGCTGACCTGCTCTGATCATCACAAGCAAGTTTCAAGAAATTCTCTGCGTACACGAGAGTGGTCGTAATCGCTGGCATGAACTTGTGTTAGCCTAGAAACATTTTTGATTACCACTATTGAGAAGTGGCACTCACACTCATGCAGCCAGTGCTGGATGCCTTGATAGTTTATGAGGAAGGAAGAGCTGGAAGGAGATGTTGCTTTATATGTTTCCTTTTTCTTTGGTGTCTCAGATAGAGTCAGCAGATGCGTGCCTAATCCTTGCCAATAAATACTGCGCTGACCCAGATGCTGAAGATGCCTCCAATATTATGAGGTAAACTCTGTAGTTTTAATAGCTTTTTGGTTCTTAACTCTGATTAGCTAATTTTATATCTGATCTGTTGCACTCAAAGAATACTGTAGATTTTTTTTTTTTTTTTAAGAGGACAAATTAAAAGATCCTCACCAATGTCCAGAGGTGAGAATACCTTAAATTCCTACCTCCATTGTTTCATCTGTCTGCTTTAGTGTGTCAGAAGAGACACTTGGAGCACGGGCTTTGACACTCATAGTCATTTTGCAGGAGCTAAGATTTGAGTATTCTGAGCTGAACGCAGAGAGGAAAGGGAATGCAGTCATGTTGTTGCAACAATACACTGCAGGGGCTGTGTCAATGATGGGGCAGAAGCACCCTCAGTGCTTCATTCTTGCTGCTCCGTGGTGGATCTGCTCCTACAAGTACAGCACTGCTCAGGGGGTAGCAGAGCATGCAAGGGAGTTGTCTCCTGTCCCCATCCTGCTTTTTTTACACTGAAGACCAGACATTGCTTGTTTTGATTGACAAGGCATTTACAGCACTAGGGACCACCAGATCTCCTCCTGCTTTCCTCCTTGTAGTCTCTGAAGGGAGGAGATGAAACAGTCAGTCAGCAGATGGCAGCTAGAGTTACAACAAACCTAAGCCATTCCATTTTTTGTTTTGTTCATACAATCCTAGTTTTAATGAGAGCAGTCTCCTTTTTAAAATTAAAATCTCAGTCAGTGATTGATTAAAAGTTTGGCCAGTGTTATAAACAGATTTTACTGGCTTGTCAGATGTTTGCATGCTGTGTATTGAAGGAAGGGGAGAAATAAAAAAATGCTACTAAAGTTGCTCTTCTGTAAAACTACCACTGTGTGCAAGAGATGTAGATATCTGAGAAAGACACAAGGCTAAAATACACCTAGTTTCATTTTGCAAACATAGTTTGAGTTGCAGTGCAAGAAACTTTATTTTGACATTGATTGCATGAATACATTAAAAATATTCCAGTTGCAGATTGGTACATTCTTTGTAGATTTAATACATTTAATGTAATAAAAATGCAAAAAAATTAACTCTCTTGTGTTTTGTCACAATTTCATTTTAAAAAATTGAATGTTTAATTAAACAATTCAGCAAGAAATGGAAAGTTAGAAGAAAGACTTGTTAAAATAATGCAATTTTTTAACGTTTCCTCTTCTAGCTTTGATATGCTTAAAAACACCAGCTAGACCAGTAGTTTAAAAGATACAATCTACAAAACACCAATGAAAACACTTATGGCATTCAGTCTTTTGAAACTCATGATTCCATAAGTTAGATATTTTTTTCATTGTTTTATCTTCTTTTTCTACCTTTAGGTTTTAAATGCAAGGCTTTTTGTTTTTGTTTTTTTTTTTTTTTTTGGTTGTTCATCTCTTTAATTTTACTCAATGTTTTTTTTTGTAGTACAATATCAATTCATGCATTTCTCAAACAATTTCCTTTCAAGCCAGTTAAAATCTATACACAGTTGAGTATATCTTGGATTCATTAAGTAATTTAGAATGCAGAAAATGTGCAGATTATGAAAGTAGCCCCATGTTTTATAAATTCCACATTCAGTTATCAGTTTTTGTATTGATCTTTGGATTAATCCATCAAAATTAAGATGAATTTGCATGTGCAACATAAAATCATTATTCAAGGTACTTAGATATGACAAATGTCTAGCAGCTATAGATAAATAATATGTGATAGGGCAGAAATTATTTTTTTCAGGCATTTATCATTGGGAAACTTGATCAAGTATGCTGATTCAAAGACATGAAGATAATCACTGAGGATGAGAATGATGTAACAGTTCCAACTGCATTACTTTCCTAATGGAAGGAGTATCTGAATAGTGCTGCTAAAACAAGTCCCTTTTTCTGCAAACTCCATAAGGGCAAACCATTCAACTGAATACTTCCTGAGGCTTACTGCTCTCTAGTACTAGCCACTAATTCTTACCTCACTTTGACTATGTGTAAATATTTCAAAGGTCTGACATCAATCAGTTTGCTTTACAGGCAGATGAATAAGGAGGTACAGTTTTAATTGTGGGACATGACAACATGGTAAAATAGAGGTATGTGGATGCATTATCCAAATAACGTATCAGTTAAAAGTTATTTAAATAGGTTTCTCCTTTTCTTTTTAGAGTTATTTCCATAAAGAATTATCATCCGAAGATAAGAATTATCACTCAGATGTTGCAGTACCACAATAAGGTAATCTGATGGCCAGTGTTTCTTCTCAGAGTTTTTTGCTACATTGCATTCACTCATACGTAATTTTTCTAGTTCCAGTAACATCAAGCATTTTTCTTTCCAAACTAAAACATCTTAATAAACCTTGTCATGTAATCCAGTTACAAATTAATTTAGTTTTATTTATATATGCAAGGGACTTTACCATAATCTTGACATTTATGAGTTGCCTAGGATCTAATTCTCAAAGCTACAGCGTCCATAGTTGTTATTGATTCCAGATGACCTTTCACCACTTCAGTTCTGTAAGTTCTGCTCTTATTGTCTTATTGGAGGTTATTGTGATTTTTTTTTATTCCAGTGCGACCATGTAGACCTGAAATTGCCAAGCAGTAGGTATAAAATAGATAAATTTGTGGTTTTTAATATAAAACATAGCCCACTTGTGGGATTCCGTGCTAAGAATATTGTGAAGTTCAAAATGGTAAATCCACTTTGGAAAGAAATTTGAAAAAATTTGTAATGGTAAATTTGTGACCCTTAAACACAATGAAGTCAGTTTATTCAATCCTGAGGTGAGGAAGTCCATAAACTGCTGACTAACAGTGTTAGGAAAGATATATCAGATAACACAGTACTCATATGTGGCCTGCTTCTTTTATTAGCTCTGAAAGAATCAACCACTGCCCAGTGTTTGAGAAAAAGCTTGACTGGGTAAACTTTCATTTGATGAAATACACAATAAATCTGGTACTAGGAAGGTTTGATAACAACTCCTTGTACCTGTAATCTGTTGCTAGAACAAGAGCATCTACTGTTATGTCCTATTCCTGTATGTTATGAAAGAAGCCAGTCTTTTTATAGAATAAAAGCAAGGACTTTCTCTGCTTTAAACAGCCACAGAGGGGAAGTTGTTTTTTGTTTTTTTTTTTTTTAAATACTGCAGTTTGTTTGCTATTCCAACAGTTATGTCTTCAAGAATAGCTTTTATCAAAGTGCTGAACTGTGTAATTAACTTAGGAAGGGAAACAAGGAGGAAATACTCTGTGCTTCCTTGTATCTACGCAAATGTAAAAGTTGCATGTCAGAGAAAATCCAAGTTATGCCAGTAAATAAGTAATATTTGTAGTTATCTAAGTTATCAGTTTCAATACTGCAGGTATGTCTTGCTCAGTTATTTTCTTCATTCTGTCCTTATAAATAGCATTCTTAGAAAAAAAGGTTTAGTTTTTCACTGTCAGGTACTTTTCTTCAAGGTGGAAGAAATGAAATAGAAAAGAAGATGTTGTATAAGAAGATGTTGTACACATCTTAAAATTCTAGTATCCTTTAAAGCTTGCAGCTTCACATAAGTTGTAGTCTAAGTTGTATTAGCTTCTTGTATATTATGTGTGTTCCTCATCAGTCAGGCAGTAGCTCAAAGTGCTGTAAAAGGAACATGCAGAAGGGAAGGAAAGCTTTACAATATTCTGCTTGGTCAGGTGTGAGGATGGACCTGACAGAGTGCCACAGCCAGCATGTCTTGAGAAGTGTATCATTTTATCTCTAGTAGATAAGAGTGGAACATTTCTCAGCTCTGAAATAGAATTAAGCTCTGAAATACTTGAAGTGCTTCTGCCTACTCAGAACAAATCAAGGTATTAATAGAGAAAATCATTCAGAACTTCTTCTGTTTCTGGTTCTTCACCTGTGGGATATTTTGTTTGTTTGTTTTCCAGGCTCATCTACTAAATATCCCAAGCTGGAACTGGAAAGAAGGGGATGATGCAATCTGTCTTGCTGAGCTGAAGCTGGGTTTTATAGCCCAGAGCTGCCTGGCACCAGGCCTTTCAACAATGTTAGCCAACCTCTTCTCCATGAGGTCATTCATAAAGGTAATGCCTTGTCTCATTAGAACGTATTAGTCTGCAATTCAGGTTGTCAGAGACTGGAGTAGAGAACGTGATTCAAATGTGAAACAGATAGAAAGACAATAACAGATTTTGTAACACCAAAACAGCCAGCATACAGTTCCTTGCAAAAGTTTTTTGCTAAAAATTGGGCAATAAACCAGGTTCTATCAACTTGTAGGTTTTTTCTTGAAATTTTTATTCAGCAAGTGTCTGGCCTTTAAAATATTTTCCAAATCATCATCCATTTCCAGGGAGATATTTTTGGCATTTTGTGTTTTTTCTTGATTTTAAACAAACCACATGTTTGTATATTAGAAAAGTTGCTGCTGCTAAAACAAAAATATGATTTATCTAAGTCCCATGTAGCAACAAAGTGCCAGAAAAAGGGACTGGTCATTTTTGTCTTTTACTTTAAGACACTAGTGGACCTCTGACTGTGAGTAAATAAGGAACATGTGTTAGAGCTGAGGCCCAACTTCCCACAACATCATTCATGTGTTTGCTTCTCCTCAGTCTAAGAGCTGTTTTGGACTTAGATTACAAAATTGTAACCCAGTTAGACTTCTGTGGCAGCTGTACTGGTTCACTGGACCGAGGCCTCGATTGCAGCAATCATTGCATCCTTCCTGGGGCATCTCAGGGACACTGATTCCAGACATAAAGGGTGGGCAGTTTCCAGTCTCACGAGTGTTCTTCGTGGGATGGGAAACACTGGAGTGAAAGGTAGGCTATGGCCCACTTCAAGTCCATTGTGCAAGTAAGCTAAAAATAAAAATACCCTCATGTCCTCAGATGAGAAAGCCAGGACTGTTCTCTTATAGGTGCATATGTTGATGCAGGACAGTGAGTCTTTATTTGCTTCTTATAAAGTCCTGACATTATTATGAAGGTATCCTTAGAAGACAGCAGGCTCCCATGAAGAAATATTTCATACTATTGCATTTAATTGAAAAAGATCAGTTTTCAGTATGGAAACAGGTCTGGGCTCTGCTCTTTACTACCTGCAGTTACAATATCTTCATCTTTATTCATGTTCTAAAAAAACCTAACTGAAAGAAAAAAAAAAAAAAAAAAAAAAAAAAAAAGAAAGTTGTTTTACTTCAGCACACCTAGAATCTGTCTGTGACTCTTCAGCACATGGCCAATTGGATATTAATCCTTTCTATCTGTATCCCAGAAGAAAACTGTATATCTTGTGAACATCATTCTCCTTTCCAGTCAGTTTGATCCCTCTCACTCCTGCCTGCTGTGGTAACCCAAGACTCTTGGGAGTGTCAAACTTTTGTGACAGTCACACTAATGTATGCAAGTTACTGAGGCAGCCTGTTGTATGAACTCGGGCTCGGCAGCAGAGTACATGAGAAAAGTTTGCTCACCTTCTGTCTTTCCAAAATCAGGAGGGGTCAGTTTTCTCCTATGGGCATCCAAATATGTGGGTATCCTCAGAAGCCTCAGTCTTAATTCAAGGTATTTTAATACTCATTTTAAAAATGAGTGAAAAAGTTGAGAGATTCACAAAATGATGAAGTGTACAAATGTCTGACTGTGGAGGAACTGTACTAGAAATACACACATATATGGCCTAGATTTTTATCTAAAAACCTTTAAATAAGTCAAAACCTGGATATGTACAGGTACCGTGTTTCCAAAAGTTATATCTCAAGACTTCTGCCATTATCTTAGCCAGCTATGTTTTCTTACTTTATAATACATTTTTATAATAGTTCCTGTACAGTTACAGATTAAATCTCATTGATGAACAGTTTTAAGATGAAGGCACAGCTTTGCAAGGCATTACTCAAGTTACATCTGAGTATTTCTCTGTACACAGAATAAGCATAAAAATAGCAATGAATTTGTCTTGGGGGAAGCTGTCATTGTCAGTTTTGCTGGTGTCTGATTATATACAGTTATAAACAGAGTAGTGTGCAGTCATACCTTAACTTTATGTGTGACTTTAAGTGTCACCTTCCCATGCCACTGGGGGGAAAAAACACCATAAGAGAGTGCATTAAGATTGCAATACTCTATTAATATTGGTTAAAAATATGTTTGCCACATAATGAAGAGTGAATTTTCTAGGAAAATAAAATGCATATCTTCACTCCCAAAGATCTCTGACTAATTCAAAATCTGAATGTTCTGATTCAGATTTTTATTTTTCAAATAAAAGTACAAGAATTGAGACACGTTTCTTTATGTTACTCTAACCCTATTGGTGATAACAAAAGGTTTGTTTATTTAGCTGAAAGGATGATCTTTCTCATGTCTGTCTAACCCTAAAAACTTGAAAAAGAAAACTTACTGAATAGTGGCTGTGAATCATCAGTGCATTGTAGGAGAGCAGCTACATTGATTAGAAATGCTGAAGAGAACTCTATTGAAGAGAAATATGTCCATTCCCTAAAGTAACTTTCACCCTTTTTCATTAAGAGCATTCAATTTAAGTACTGTCAGACCTTCATAAATTCCTTAGGTAAACATTTTTAGTGGAGTCTCTCACCAGTCAGGAGATTGCCAGGAAAATGTATGGAAACTTCTGTATTTTCTAATGAAAGCTTGAAATGTGGGTTTGTTCCGCCTCCATAGCGTGATTAGAAAGTGATTTAATGTGCCATAAATGTTTGGTCAGTCAGACACAAATGAACATGATTGATGGTGACGTTGCACACATTTAACTCATTATGTGTTACTTTACAGCAAAATTATTTGTGTAAACAGTCTGCTCAGTGTTAGAAGTAAAACAAACTAAAAAACCTCAAAATTTTATATTTGTTCCTAATATTTTCCTTTTGGTTTTAGCAATGTAATATCATGTGGAATCCTTTATATTCTTTTTGGCACCAAACTGAACAAAAAGGAAATCAGCTCAAAAAGACTAATGTTCTGTAAACACTTAAAGACAGATAGATTGTACCAAAATATATGCTAAGGAAAAAAAAACTCTGCAAAACTTTACACCTGTAAACTGTATTTTAATAATCCTGTCTTGTTATAATACAGACTGTTACTGTTGTATTCAAAAAGGAATTTGGACTCTTTATTTACTTGTACAGTCTGAGAAAAAGATGGAAATATTTTACTGTATTGCAAATTCTGTATTGTTTGAATTAGTAAGTGCATACCAGAAGTCTGTCTATATGAAAAACATGGCAAAAACCAGATACATGGAGTAATAATTGGCAGAAGTGATTAAATTTTGTACAGGCCAATCCTACAGGCCAATCTACAACCTACAAGCCAAGTTAGTACTTTTGTATAAATTAATAAAATGTGGAATGTGGTACTTGTTTGTTAATTGAGTGTTACATAAGTCCACAGCCAAATTAGTTTTGTCTTTGCTCCATAGGTAAGACAGCCAGTACTCCTCATTCCAGATATCACAATTATCTAGAGCTGTCTCTATTATCCTCTAAGCTATTTTGAGAGCAGGAGTGTTTTGTGGGCTCTTTCAGCAGCTTTTGCTCACACCTACACGTGTGCAATGTCCACTTAACATTCCTTTCTAGTCCAAGCTGAAAGAGAGACATAAAACCACACAGATTTACATCAGTTGGGTGCTTACCTACATTGATGGAACACATCTACTTGTTTGCTCTTTATTTTTGACCACCTAGGCAGCCTTGGAATATTTCAAAGTGTAGAACTGGACAATGAACAGTGAATTCCTTGACATGTAGGAGGGCTTTAAAAGAGGAGTGAGAAGGAAATGCAATGTTTCAATTTATTGTGAGGTTCTTCAGGAAGCTGCATAATAAACTAATTACCTGATCCTACTCACAGGACCTAGATCAAATATTAAATATAGCCTGTTACCAAAAACATTTATCTTCAGAGATCATGTAAAGATCTTCCTGACTGTAGTGTTTTTAAATCATTGATTATAGGAATTAAAACCTATTGTGGTTTAAAACTGTTTGCTGTGTATACATAGTATCAGTCCTTGTGATAAGAGTGTATTTGTCTTGGACTAAAGTCTACCATGGGACTGCATTTTCAGTCAGTCATTTGAGCAGACCAACACCAATCTATCCTTCACATCATGATTAGATAGAAGTCTTGCCCTGTATATTTGAAAGTATTAGAAGTAGAGCCTGTATCTCTTTCAGTTCAAATCCAACAAGGCCAGAATCTAAAAAATAATTGGATGTCATTATATTTCAAGGATACTCTCTCTGCTTTGACTCACTACAAAATTCTACTTTGGTATTAATGGGGAAAAGTGCATAAATCTCATTTGAAATTAGAACTAATCTCAATTAGCATATTTGATGTTTTATAAAATATAGTATTTTTATACAAATTTTAAAAATCATCCTTCAATACAGAAAGCTGTGGAAATAGTTGACTGAGATTGTAAAGTCTTCATAGTACTAAGGATATTTGTTAGCTTTGATTTCAACAGACAATGGAATTGAGTAAAGAGGTAGTTGATAATTTATAATAATAAAGGAAATGCAATTATAAGACTGTAAATCTAAGAAGCTTCACTCTATGATATGACAATAAGAACTGCTTTCAGCCAATTACTTTTCTGTCTGATTTAGATATCCATATGCAAAGACATAACAAAACTAGGCATTCACTCAAATGCTTTGGGTGGACTGAAAGGGCATTATAGGTGAATAGGAGGAAATCTTTTAGTTACATTACTTTCACTGTACACATCCTTTTCAACTACCAATCAAGAATATTCAAGGTCATACTGAGTTAGGACAAGGAGTTATGGCTTTAAACTGGCAGAGGGCAGGATTGGAATAGGTATTGGGATGAAACTGTTTACTGTGAGGCTGGTGAGGCACGGGAACAGATTGCCCAGAGAAGTTGTGGTTGCCTCATACCTGGGAGTGTCCAAGTCGGATGGAGCTCTGAACAGGCTGGTCTAGTGGAAGGAATCCCTTCCTACAGCAGCAGGGGTGGAGTGAGACGGTCTTTAAGGTCCCTTCCAGCCCAAACCATTGTATGGTTCAGTGGGTACTTTCTTTTCATTCTCATCTATATTGTTTGAGACAGAGAATTGTAACATTAAACATCCTCAAAGGCTTTGTCCTGTTTTGTGCTCTTTCCATGGTGGTGAAGAGCTGATCTTATTCAGTGCTAAGGAGCAGACTTGACATCTGCATTCACTGTGCTATAAAGGAATTGGATATTCACCATCCTTTGCCTTGCAAACTGCAGTGAAAAATCCTAGGTCACAACACAACTCTAGCATTTGTTCTCTGTCTTGGTAGTGGTACTTAGATCGTGGCAGAAGAGATTATATAGCATGATCAGGTTCAGATACACTCAAATCTCTTTCATGTAACCATCATTACACTGAAAAGCAAATGCTGTGAGCAAGAGAGTTCTTTTGGAACTGCAGAGCTCCTGATAATTACACTGCTGGGTGTAGGGCTGGGTGTATTAAAGGTTTTCATTTTCTTCTGACAATACTAATGGCTGTGCTTGCAAGAGCTACATCACTTTTTCATATATCTGTTACCATGTCTCACTAGGAATTTATTGTATTATGTAAATATATTTGCTGGTAACAATATTGTATCTATATATAAGATAGAGGAGAGCAGAGGAGTATTGTGACTTAAAAAAAGATTCAGATGAAAGTTGCATTTCTTCTCTTGGATTGCACTATGTAATTTTCCAGCTATTCTTCATATAGCCTATTGAAGCAGTGGCTAATTTGTTTTATGACAGAATTGCAGTGTGACTTAGGGAGTGATAATAATGTTTGCAGTACTAGAGAGGAATCAGGAAGATACAGATTGAAGTTGTTTTGGTAGTATGGCCCATCCTGGATTGGTTCCATCAGTTGCTTAAACTTCAAAATATCATCACAAAGGCTTAAAATAATGAAGAGCATAATGACTCCTAAAGTATTTTTCCTCATGAAAGATACCAGGCAAGTGACCATTTGTCTCTTTGAAATAATTGGGAAAATATCATGGTTCAGGTGGAGATAAAACAGAAAGATCATCTTTAGTCAACTGTTGCAATCATCTTATAATAATATTTTATAGCAAATATCAGCAATTCTTTAAATTCTATAATCAACATTTTGTGGTATCCTAACAGATCATATCTTAAACACTCCAATCACTTAACAAAGTTTAATGTAATGCTAACTGGTGTCTGTGGAGGTTGATCATTGCTTTGGGAATGTTTGGTTTTTTTCCAGTCCTTTCTTGGTCCTTGACTAAGGGTGAGAATTTAGCTATAGGCTGATCTGGAGTTCCTTCCTCCAAATCAAAACCATCTGCCTAAAGAAAAGAAAGCAAGGGAAGAAAGTAGAAAGTAAGATATGGAATGTATTTGTATATTTTTTTTGCAACCCCAGGTGGTGTCAATGTAAGAAAAAAACCACAAAATAGACCAAAAGTTACAAACATGCCCTTGCTATCATTACTCTTAGTTTTTTACCAAGCCTGGACTTTATCTCTCTTCTGTATATAGAGTTGCTGATCAGCAACATTTGCAAGCTTCCTATAAATAAAAGGGTCATAAAAAATGTGATATGGCTTCTCTGTGTGTGGTAGGAAATAACACAATGCAAATCCCTTTTACCATCCCACATGGCCTCTGAGTGGTGAAACAATTTCTGTGGAAGAAATTTCACCTGATTGTTTGCAGCCCACTTGTCAGGCTGTATATGATTTGGAACATCTCCATATTGCAATTTATTCTTTCAGTCGTTTGCATCTCCAAAACTAAAGCAACTGATTACTTGGCAGCCTGTCAGCAATAGGAGGGGGGAATAAAACAGCAACAACAAACAACTAACCAGAAAACCAAAACCAACCAAACAAACAAAAAAGGCAAAATCCAAACAAATTAAAAAAAAAAAATAGAAAACCCTAAACCCCACCAAAAAAAAAAAAACCAAAGAAAACAAACAAACAAAAACAGAAGTGGAAAAAAATAGTTGTAACTTACATTTCACCAGGCTTCTTAACAAGTTTCCATCCTCCTGTACTTTAGAGCAATTTTTGAAAGAGTGCCTTTTGGCTAGTTCAACATGAGAAAAAGATTGACGAACCCCAAATTAATAATCAACCTGTGGAATAAAAACACAAACTTATCTAAAATACCATATTGAGTCCTGTCAGAATATCTCTGGAATACTGAAATTTGAAAACTTGAAATTTTTTGGTCCAAGAGAATCCTAGAATCGCAGAATATCTTGAGTTTGAAGGGACTGACAAGGATCGTTGAGTCTGACTCCTGATCCTGCTCAGGACACCCCCGTGTGCCTGAGAGCGTTGTCCAAACACTGCTGGAGCTCTGCCAGGCTGCTGCTGTGACCTCTGCTCTGGGGAGCTGTTCCAGTGCCCAGCCACCCTCTGGTGAAGAACCATTTCCTGATATCCTTACCTCCCCTGAGGTATAGGCTGTTCAGCCTGGAGAAGAGGAGGTTGTGTGGAAACCCTGTAGCAATCTTCCCCTATCTGAAGGGGGCTGCCGAGAAGCCAGAAGGGATTCTTTGTTATGAACTGTAGTGATAGCACAAGCAGTAGTAGGTTAAAACTTAGAGAAATTTAGTCTAGATATTTGGATAAATTCTTTACTGTGAGAGTGGTTGAACGCTGGACTAGGTTGCCCAGGGAGTTTGTGGATGCCCCAGTTTGGGCAGCATTCAAGGCCAGGTTGGATAAGGCCTTAAGCAACCTGGTCTAGTGAGAGCTGTCCTTCCCATGGCAGGAAGGTGATCTTTAAGGTCCTTTCGAACCCTAAAGATTCTGTGATTCTATGATTTTTAAAAAGAGAAAATTGGGAAACTTTTTCCTCATGCTCTCTACAACTTTATTTCACCCCATGCTCAATGTGCTTGACAAGAATTCAGTGTATTATTTTTGCATATGATACTTGATTTGCTGACTATAGGGACTCTGTTTTGTTTTGTTTTGTTTTTTTTTCAGCATTCTAGCAAATCCCTTACGAATAAGCAATGTTAATTGCTATAACAGTGTACTAACTTGTGTTAAAATCTGATTCATGTTTAAGTAGTTGTTTGTAAATTTCAAAGAAAGCTGTGATTTTTACTCAGAACTCTGCATCTGTTTCTTTGGTTTTAGATTGAGGAGGATACGTGGCAGAAATACTACCTGGAAGGAGTTGCAAATGAAATGTATACAGAATATCTGTCTAGTGCCTTTGTGGGTTTGTCCTTCCCTGCAGTTTGTGAGTAAGTAGAAATACATTTAATATACAGAAGTATTTCCCTTCTTGCAAGAGAAATCTATTTTTTTTTGCATGAGACCTTTTCACTGTGCTGAAGTCCTAACGTTGCTATGGTGTCTAATAAAATAAACATTAATGCAATCACTGCATGGAAGTAGCTGAAGCATTGTAATGCCTGGTTTCAGGAGAGATTTGTAATTAAATGATTGTAAATGAAAGCATAAATGGTTTTGGTTTGAACGATCTCAAATGAATTTTTAAACTTGAATTTTTAAATTGAGTTATTTACTCACAAGCTATTTATTCCTGTTATTTTTCTGTGGTGGTCAACATGACCATCTTGGCTTGTGTTCCATTCCAAGAAAACTATTCATTAATTTAAACAGATGTCGTGGGGTCATATAAGCAGTGTGGCACCCAGAGCTCTGTGGAAGTGGTTGAAAACCCTTGCAACAAGTAAAATATGTCAGAGAAGATATGTTTGTTCAGTTATGAGAAAGAAGCACACAGTACCTAACCATAGTGTAAGCCATGTGACAGCTTCATTTCTGGACACTGAAAACTGCTTAGCCTAGAGTGTGTCTGTGAATGAGAGATATGTATGCATAAGGTTTGTATAATAAGTACTGTGTCCACAGGTTAGTTTAGCACACTCATATGTCCTCTTTGCTCTGTTCTTAGAGGAGGAAAGAGATGGAGAAGTAAAATACAAGCTCTTATGTAAAGGAGGATGAGTATGCTTCTACTCCTCTAACTTCCCCAACTTTCCCAGTTTTTACAGGAGCAAAACAATGGCATTAGAATGAGAGAGAAACAACTGTTAGACAAATATTATTCATTTGGAAATTGTCTGGGATGTAGCTGTGACAGAGCCCAGTCTTCAGTTTGCTGGTAATGTTAAGGGGCTCTCAATCCATCCTTCTCCTGTGTCAGCCAAACTCTGTTGAGATTACTGAGGGGAAACATATTTCACTATGGGGACAAAAGTTGGTGTGGATTTCTTGAAACAGGATATCTCATAACATAATTCAGGAAAGTGTATTATATTCAGAATGAATGGTAGTTTGTGCTGTTAACACTAGCTACAATAATGAAAATTAAATCTCCACGCCAAACCATTTTCAAATGTGTCAAGTTTCTATATGAGTTTGTAGGAAGATGTGACTGAGACTGTATTTGACATAAAGCTGACATTCATTTATCTGTGCTGGTAGAATGGAGATAAAATAATAAAGAAAGGGTGCTTATTGAGATTTAGAAACATGTCTAAACTTTGGAGCTCTCCTCAAGCACTTTACTTAATGAGTTTAGTGCATAGATATTCTCATTACTGTAAGAATTGACTGCTCAATTTCCAGAAGAACCAAAGACAAGGACAGCAAAATGTCCATTGCACTGGTTTTTGAAGGGGAAATTGAATCAGTGGATAGTCTTAGTGTATTCAGCTACCCATGAAATATATAGACTTTGAGAGCAGGTTTTGTAGTGTAGCTTTTAAAATTCATGTAGTCAATGACATTTCAAAAGTCTGAAATTAAATGAAATGTTCTGTTTCCTCAAGTTATTTGTCATAAATGCAAGTTTAGGAATGTGATTCTTTTGTAAATAGCCTGCCATACAGTCTGAATAACAAAGTGTGTGCGGAGACAGTGAGGATGGGGCACTCAATATAGCTGAAAAATTTCAAGCTTTTGATGTCAACACTAGGGTGAAGAATTAGACAGAACCAGAAGTTAATATCAGTCTGCAAGTTCTATTTATAACTCCACGTGTGTGTACTGTGTGAATATATTCCAACCAATATATTTTCAAAATGTAAATGTAATATTCTATGCCCTTGGATACTGCTGGACCAGGTGTGGATGATGTTGATTGAAGATAAACTAACCAATCTGTCTCCCACTAGTGCAGAGCCTTCTAATATTTAGTAATGTAAGGCTAACCTTCAGCCAGGTTCTAGACCTACCACTCTCTACCCCAAAATTCTCCCAAGGAGGGCAGCATATCTCTGCATTGACACTCGATCTAGCAGTGGGAGCAGCCACCTGTCCATATGTGATATTGGTTCTGACAAGAGACTGACTCCTGGCCTCTTCTCTCCCTCAGACTGGTGTTTGCGAAACTGAAGCTCTTAATGATAGCCATAGAATACAAGTCGGAGAAACGTGAAAGCAGGTACGTCCTGTGCCACCAGCTTTGGAAGTTCTCGAATGCACTGGCAAGAAGTTTAGAATTTTGCCTGCTTTTTTTTTTTTTTTTTTTTTTTTTTTTTTTTGTTTTTTTTTTTTAGAATGAACATATCTATTCTTTGAAACATTTCAGAATGTAATTAGCATGCCATCGCATTGCAGCATCTCACATAGCACTGAAAGGGACTTATTTCTGCCCTCTTCCTACCTAAAACCAACCCAAGTCAGAATGTTTAGTAAAAAGTGCTGTAGTACATATGTCTCATCTCCAGGAGTGATTTTACTTAGAGAAAAGCTTACAATTTTTGTGTTTATAGCATATCACTTTTAATGAGAGGTCCAGCATACACTACTGAAAACAGAAAAGTGGAAAACAGATGTGGTATCAAAATTCATTATGGCTATGTGTATTGTCAAAATACAAATTTCATTTAAATTAGTCTGAGAGAACCAGTTTAGATATGATACAGGATAAACAGATATAGGGTAACCATAATATTTAAATCATATATGATCTGACAAAACTTATATGAATAACATCATGAAACTGGAAAAGATTAATTACCAATTGGCTGGCTATTTTTGTTAACCAAAAAGAAAAACATATCATTATTTTTAGTACAGATTCACAGATGGGAAGTGTTTCTTGCATTTTTGTTTTTGTGCAAAGGTTCGTAGAAACATGATTGAACAATCAAGTCAGTGTTCCATCAACTTGTCCATTAATGCTTTAAACAATATTTATTTTTTTGTAACAAAAATATTATAAATGTTCTCTGCAACATGTGGAGGGTCATATAAAAAAATATGACAATACTGACTCTGAGAGAGGTTTGATTTTCCTCTTTCACAATTACATTTTGTACTGCTGTAGTAAACCTGAAGTGACACATACTAGTTCATCTTCTTTTTGGCCACTAATTACCTTTTTGTGGCCAAAGGGCGCTTTTGAGGACAATTGCTTCTTCTCACGGGAGAACCAATTCTATCAATTGAACTCATTCTAAATTTCCTGGGATTTTGAAAGTTTAATACTTAGTAGTAACTCTGATAATTTTTTTTTTTATTAAAAGAATCTATAAAACCTGTGTTAGACATTTGACATGGAAAAGGAGTGTTACAACTATTTATGAGTATTTCCATGCTCTATAGTTGATTTTGCTGGATTCTTCTGTATGTTATAAAATGAAATGTGAAGTGGTGTATGTACTATTGGATATTATTTTTGTTCATACTATGCTGATTAAGAGATCCTCTTTTTTTTTTACTATCAGATTTTTTTTTAATGTATTTAGGCCCTTTGGACTCTTAAATTACTTAAATTGTAAGTTCTCATTCTGTATCAGCTAATGTAAAGCAAACAATCTATTCTTCTGTCTAGGAACAATTTAATCTCTTGCTAGAAAAAGGAAAAATACAATAGCAACAGTAGTGGAACAATTTGCCAGATTTTGTGCCTTCAGTATTAAGAAATATTTGGTTTCTGTTTTTCTCCTAACAAATATTGGCCAACTTTATATTGCCATTACTTCAGTTGTCATTTACTTACATAAGTGCTAATATTGCAGTCTTTCACAGTCATAACAGATTGTTCTTGGCTTCCGTATCATTCTTTGCATTAACTTCAGTGGGAGTTGGATTGAGCTCTTAATCAAAAGGTGATGCAGAGGATCCCACAAAAAGCAAAACAGTGTGGTGCAATCATATATTTCTTACTTAAAGCCACACAGGTAACAGTTTGAAATAATTATTATAGTAGGGAAAAAAAAAGCCTAAAATTGCTGGAAGCAATGCTAACAAAGAGATATTAACAGCTGGATTTGTTGAATATGTATGTAGCAAGAGGAAGGCATGTAAGGTAGATAGTCACATTTTCTTATAACACTGATCCGCAGCAATATCTGCTGATTTTATTAAGCAGTGATAATGTTATAGTCACTGTTTGATCTATCACAGAGCTACCTGCAGCATATCTTTACTGCTCTACTTGTTCCTGTGCTCTTCAACTCAAATATGTTAACTAGACATTTGTGGTTTACTGATCCTTTAGTCAAACCAGAAGGGTAATGCAACAAAACTTCAGTTTCTCACCTCCTAAGTATACTTGCATTTCCATGTATCTTACTGGATGAAAAAGTGAGGAATTAAAATAAAAGTTAGAATAACATAGTTTTGAAGCACAAGCTCTTTATGAACAATGTAAATTTGTCATTTGTCACTTCTGTTTGTTGATGCTGAAATTGGAAGTATTTTATTCTGCTCATATCCAAATTTCTTCCTGGTAATTCTTCATAAAGGTGAAGTGAGAATTGACTAAGTTTTCAGTCTTTATGAGAGTGACAAAAAGTAGATACATGCTGATTTATTTTATAATTATACTTTGCATTCACATTTTGTAGACCTATTGTGGAAGAAGTTTTATATAATTTAAAATTCAGAGAAACAATGTTAAATATAACTAAAAATTTAGAACATTATGTAGATGGCGCCCTTTCATTAAGATCTAATACTTACTGCCATAGCTGAGAGAGGTCTCAAAACAGTATTTTAAGAGGCAGAGGAAATTTTCAAAGCATTCTTTCTACTTAAAGGATGAGAAGATCTTACTTCCAACTTACTGTTTAATTTTTGTTGCTAGTCATAATAAAATGTCTATATCATTAAATTATATATTGGATTTGTTACTTACACAGGGAGTTTCTGTTAAGAATTTGCCTTTGCAAATTCAGAGCTAAAGCAGTGAATAAGACTCAGGAGTGTATGCAGCTCTAAACAGTAGTAATTTAAGAGCATTCTAAATTTCCTAACCCCCTCTTTAAATTTTCAAAATTTAAATTTTTAAAATCAGTCTGAAGGATAAATACTAGTCCCAATCCCATTGAATGGCAGACTTTTATTTGTCTGTTAATATCTTCATTAAATGTAGAATGGCATAAATACTAATTTACATCTGCATGGGTTTTTTTTTGTCCAGGCGGCCACCTGGATTCTAGTTTTCTAAATCTTTCTGATTTACAGTCAAATTCTGTTAACTCTCCTGTAGGGAATTTGAAATCAATAGAAATTAAAAATTATGAGAACTCTATCCAAGCTAATACTGCTGTACATGTTAGTGGCAGCTGAGCTTCCTGCCTGCAGATGTTTTTTTCCTTTTTTTCTGACTACTAATAGAGCTGCACAAAACAGAAAGCTGGCCTTGATAACAAATTTTGTCAGTTTAGGTAGGTAATTAATAACAATTATGATTTTATAGAATTGCTCAAAAGCCAGTATTCCAGCCTAAATATAAGTAATATAATTATAAATATGATAAATGCATATTAGTTTTCATATAATGGATAGAGTATCTAGAGTATGTTTATAGTTTTACACAACTGCTTCTCATCAAGGTATCATAAAGATTCATTAAAAAACCCCATTATTAGATGTCTTTTAACCTTTGCATTTATATATTTGATAATATTTAAATAATTTGTCAGCTATCAAAGAAATCCCTGAATTTACAAAACTCAATTTAGAGTGTTTCTGACCAGCTATTAAAGTCTGCTCTCTAGTAACTCCAGCTCACAATATGAGTTAACCATTGCTTCATCTCTAATTGCTTTCTGGGAATGTTATAATCCGTGATTAAGAACAGGAAGCACTTAAATTATTTTCTGTCTCCCTGATGCAAGCCAAATACCATCACTTAAAAAATGTTCTTAGCTTATTTGGAGAGGTTTTGCTTTTTCTGTAGAAAAATGCAAAGGAAACATGGAGAACATGAACCTGAAAATATCCCAGTGTTAAATATATAGCAAAAAATAACAGTTCAAAATGCAGACATTCAAACTCCTCATCTGAAATCCCTTTTTGAGAGATTTCTGCCTTCCTTTTCCCCTTGTATTTTTATTCCACATAACTAAGCAAGAAGGAAAGCCTAACCAGGATTCTTCCCTCCTGCTCCCCATTTATAGTCCACTTGTAAAATTTTCTCTTTGTCTATCCATATATTTGTTCTCATTCTCAGCAGAAAAACCTTTAAGCCTTGAAGACTTTTAAATAAAGGGTTTTTTTGCTTTTGCTTTGGTGTCAGTTGATTTCTTATCAAAGTGTTTGATTTGCAATTTTTTTCTTGTCGTTTGCAGAAGCCGAAAGCGGTATGCCCTCTTCGTTACCTTTCCTTCCAACCTCAATCCTACCTTCACTCCTTCTAACTTCAGGACTAATTCCTTGCCAAGAACACAGGAAGATAACATCTTTGTCTATCTTTCTCTGTATATACACACACATATATATCTATATATATTCATCTATCTATGTGTGTGTGTATATATATATATCTGTGTATATATTTATATATGAGCCCCCAATCTCAAAGAGGAGAGAGAGAACAGCATTTTGTCTCTCCAGTGTTTCTTGTGACTCACGCACTAACTTCTTTGCAGGAAGTACAAAATAAAACAGGATTCATTTTTTAGGCTTTTTGTCCCCTTTGTGGAGTCATTGGTGTATCAGATTGTTGCATTTGAAAAGCAGATTTCACTGTTAATATCTCCTGTCTTCATTTTGACTGTATCATGACGATGTATATTTCGTCTTTACCAGCCCTTGTGCTGCCATATTGTTTTCATATTCACACCTTCATTGATGTCCTTCTTTCCCCAGAGTCTTCCTTCAAAACTCGTCTTACAATATAGTAGTTCATGTTCTCTTGCAGTCTCATTTTCCATTAACAGCAACAAAATACCTGATTCTTTGCATTTCTGGTCCTGTTTTGAGTCCAGTTACTCATAATGCAGTACTCATTAAAGTTTTTGTACTGTTCCAGTGAAAGTGCCATGGATAGTTTGTATATGCTACATTCATTTTAGTGACATTTATTAACTCATTTATGAAGATGTTACTGAATGTATTTTTTTCTCAACTTTGTAGTTTTTTTTTTGAGATGGCATGTTTTGCATTTTCTTTGGTATACCATGCTGTGAGTCCCTCTCTAGTCTACGT